TCACATGGAATACTGTTCCCATCTCTGGGCAGGGACTCCCCAGTGCCAGCTCCTTCCACTTTACCGCATCCAGTATTTTCTGGATGACGGATCTTATAATTTTTGCTATGGAATATGTATTTGTGTTCTTCGACAGTACCGTACAATTTTAGTTATGCCATTTTTTAAACTTACTTAAACTAAGTTATCTTAGTCTACTTGCACGCAGGTTTACATAATACAGTGAAGTTATGAGTTTGAATCGCAGCCTGACCTACCATTTCAGTAAAAATGTAAATTGAGGTTTTTCAAGCCTGTTTATGATGTGATTGTCCTTGTGGCTCTCCCAATACATCCAAGCCTTCCTCCGATGTTATTGTAAAAGAATCGCAGCAGACACGGGAAGGAGATGTGGTGGGTGCTCCAGTGCTCAATGCTCATAATATATTATGTGAGTGCAATATTTATAGTATATTGTCCTGGACTGTATTTTTGCGTAAATTTGTGACTCTATAATATCTTTCACTAAAACTAACCGGAAAACTTAACTCTAAAAATTGCAATTCTCACTAATGTTGAATCAGCTAGTACTGTCTACTTTGGTTATTATCACAACAAAATGCCGCGTGGAATATTGTCATGAGGAAACATGAGGACATTGAAGTTTATTTGTTTTTTATAATAGCAAAAAGTCTTTATTATTACTAGGAGAGTTTGAAACCTTGAGAGCCCTATTGAGTAATAGCGTACTTTGCACGTCCCCAAAATGTTTTTAAATTCTCAGACATAGATTTCCCCAGAATGTTTTTCTTCAGCGCTGAGCACGCTAGCAAATCAACACATTAGTGCCGGTGGAGATCGATTTCGGTTTGCTCACTTAGTTTGAAATTTTAGGGATAAGATTGAGGAAACAGATTATCTAAAAGCGGGCATTAATCCTATTTTGAAATAACTTTTGGCTATCATCAAACATGGCTTCGCTTATATTTGTTTTTTTTTTTTTAATATTACCTCCGCACTAGAAATTTCTCACGTATCGTGGGGGCAATTATGTAATTTGCACATGTATGTAAATTGCACATCCAAACAATCCAAACAAACATCCAAATCCGGAAGAATTATTTGTATTCCATTTCCAAGTTCCGTGCGGGATTCGAACCTAAAGCCCTAAGCGCTGTAATTGCTAAGCCATTACGCCACGGAGCCGCATAAACTAAAGAAGTAAGTTATAGAACATAAGTTAAAGAATTTCCGTACGTTGTCTAGTTGTCCATAATTACTCAGTTATGAAATATACTTGGGAGCAAATAAATCGAGACACTTCCTTTTTCACGCATTATGGTTATTATTATCAGGGTTACGGGCTTGGGATTCGAGACAATTATAAACTGTCGAGTGAGTTACCAAAATTGACACTTTAATTACAGAACACTAATTACAACTAAAAACCAAACTAGTAACAAAACACAATTGTACTACTGATCACTTTATTTCGCAGTTGTATCGCGTCGAAGTATTTAGCTTGTATCGCCAATTGAACTCTGACTCGTTACTGTCTATACTGACCTTATATAGGGCCTCAGATAGTTCCAAACCTTCTACTTTAGAAACATCTAGAATGTTCGAGTACATACCGGTCCCGACTGACTAGGTGAAGATAGCTCTAGAAAGTTCTTCCATGGAAATTTCTAGAAGGATCTTGACTCTTCTAGTTCTGCTACTCGATACTAGAAGGCACTAGTGGTAACTAGTGTCAACATTAGTATTATGAAACACATCGGATTCAAAACATATATCAACTAATATTAAAATATTTGACTGCCTTATTGGTCTAGTGGTTGTAGGTAATGCGACTGCTGATCATGAGGTCCTGGGTTCGAATCCCGAGTCGGGCCAAAAAAATATCAGTTATTGAGTTTTCCATCAAGAAATTCTCAGTAGCTGCCCGGAGTCAGGAATTTGGCGGTGTCTCACCCCCGTGCCTCGGAAAGTACGTAAAGCCGTTGGTCCTACGCCTGATCTCTCTCCGATCGTGTCGGTTTACTACTATGACAGTGAGGAAATAGAGAGTGCACCTGTGCTTCATACACTTGGGCACTATAATCCTGTCCTGCGCCGATGGCTAGTCTCCGTTGAGACTGGCCGCCGTGACCGAAATCCGGTCTGGATGACGTTATTATTATCACCTAATAGGTTTTTTAATAGCCTTTACAATGAGGGTAGCAAGATGTCAAATTTTCATTTTTAATTAAAGTGTAAAGGGTAGAACAAAATGATAGCATTTAATTTGCTTATGACATTTTGATTATACTCCATTAAAAAAAGGTTAAATTGGGGGTTTTAGTTAATTATACTCATATTTACGTGTTGTTGTGCTTTTTATCTGTGCCTGTGTAATCAAATAGCCAGATAAAATGGATACTACTTCGACGGAAGCTGCCCAAATTGTAGCTTTACTTCAGGCTGGACACGGACAACGTGAAGTGACGTTGACTTCATTTGAGTTGTTCAAAGTTATAGCGGGTATACCGCAGGTATCTGGAGACTAGTGCTTTTGTTCGGCGACCTGGAGCCGGCAGACCACGGGCAACTACATAACATAACTTAATCATAGCTTTAATAGGTGTCTAGAAGAAGGTATTTTTCCAACAGTTTTAAAAAGGTCCATCACAATACCAGTTTTTAAAAACGGAAAGCGTGACATCATCACTAACTATCGTCCAATATCGTTACTCCCGTCTATGTCTAAGCTCCTTGAAAGAATAATAAACACTAGACTTATAAAATATTTAGAAGATAATGAAATTCTCTCAAATGGTCAATTCGGTTTTCGAAGAAGTAAATCAACTACGGACGCTATACATATTTTTACAGAATTTATTGTGCAAAAATTAGATTCCAATAAAAAATGTATCATAATCTTTATTGATCTGCATAAAGCTTTTGACACTATTTCATCTTCTAAACTGATCGAGAAACTTGAAAAAATGGGTATTAGAAATGTACAATTACAACTTTTTAGAGATTACCTACAAAATCGCTCACAACGAGTTAGGATAGGAGAGATTTTTAGTGATGAAAGACCAATCAATTACGGAGTACCACAAGGAAGTATTCTCGGTCCAACTCTCTTCCTTTGCTACATAAACGATCTTTGTCAATTAAACATCCCAAATTGTAAAATAATCTCATATGCTGACGACACAACCCTCTCGTTCTACGGTGACTCTTGGGAAGAAGTTTTCAAAATTGCACAGGATGGTTTCAATATAGTGTGTCACTGGCTTGCTCTAAATAGTCTCACTTTAAATACCGATAAAACCAAATATGTAATGTTTTCCATCCGAAATTCAACCTGTATTACAAATAAATTTAAAATCATAGCACATTCATGTAATATGACCTCTATTTCAAATTGTAAATGTCCTGATATTGAAAATACAAATAACATAAAGTACCTCGGCATAATAATAGACAAGAATCTAACTTTCAAAGAACATATAAACTATTTAGTTCAAAAAATTAGAAAGCTTATCTACATATTTAAAAACTTAAGACATATCGCAAATTGGAATTTAATTAAAACTGTATATGAATCGTTAGGTAAATCTATCCTGTCCTATGGCATTTCTGTATGGGGAGGCTCTAGTAAAACATTAATGATGGAAGTTGAAAAGGTACAAAGGATGATATTAAAAATTGCCTTGAAAAAACCTAGGACGTATCCGACTACGAACTTATACGCAGAAGCCAATGTGTTAACGGTTCGAAAAATTTACATATTATCAATAATCTTAAAAAAACATAGTTGTATTGATTTGTTGGATAATATAAGGAACTCTGGTACGAGGAGAGATTATGAAGTCTGTGAAATTATTCCGGTAAAAACATTTTTTGCTCAAAAGTTTTTCAGTTTTAGAGGTAGTCGATTATATAACAAAGCAAACAAATTACACCGTATCATTAACCTAACTAAATTTGAATGTAAAAAGAAAATTTCAAATTGGCTGCTTAAACTTGATTACGAAAAAACAGAACAATTACTGCAGATTGCATCTTAACATACCACGTACAAGTTAACCCACACATATACACATACACACACTCACACATACACACACACACACACACACACACACACACACACACACACACACACACACACACACACACACACACACACACACACACACACACAAACACACAAACAATAAGATTAACTGCTTGCGCGTATGCTCTCTCGCAAACGGAAAAAAGTCTCTGCTATATACGTATAATAAAAAAAAAAGAAACATCTAGTTGATCATTCTAATGGGGAGCCGGGAGATCCATAGCACAGGGTATCCTAGTGTGGACTCCCGTCTCCCACAAATTTATGTACCTCTTTGTTTTTTTTTTTTTATAAAAAATATATATGTTTTTAAAAGATAAAATATGCAATTGTACAATTTGTGGGAGAAAATAATAAAGGTTTATTTTATTTACTTTATTATTATTTATTTATTATAACGACCGCTTTATTTCAATCAGTTCGTTGCGCGACCGTGGACTTATTGCTGTTCGGCTACAGCAAGCGTTACGTGACGTTCGAGGTGTCGAAATCAGTAGTTGAACAGTGAGACGAAGACTAAAGGAACGAAATTTAACATCAGACAAACCGGAAACTGTCCCAAAATTAACTGTGGTTCACCGCCGATCTCGCCTGGAGTTTGTTCGAGAACACATTAATGCCATCAAAAATATAACTTGTAAAATAAACCAAGTCTCGCAACTCAGTTCTTCTACCGTAAATAGTTGTGAGATCCATGTAATACAAAGTCGGTTAATTTATTCAGTCCCTACTTAAGGGTCCTTCTGTTTTAAGTTATTACGTAATTAGCTAACCTAACAACATCTTATAGTGGCCACATCAATAGTAAAAATCTTTTATATTTTAAATAAATAGATTGACTTGACCATCGCATGAAAACACAATGTATCTGAGTCTATTGACAATAAAGATTAATTGTATAATATTTCAGGAAGAAGTGGAATCATCCCTTCGGCTCGTCCACGCAGTGGCTACTGGTGCCACAGGAGCACTCTGCGTGACTCATAGGTACGGCCGCCTACATGCCCCCCTACACGCAGCACGTTGGGATGCGGCTAGAGCGAGAGCAGATTTAGCTGCCAACTTACTACGTCAACTCGGTTTGGAAAACGCTGGTAATTTCTTCATTTTTAGAACCGCCATTAGTTTTGCTGTATGCCATTTCAAAGTCACACTTAATTTCCGGACATATTCTTTATCACTTTTCTTGTTTTAGTTTATTTATACACAAGTTACTTTTTACAAAATATATGTCAGTACTAGCGCGAATACGTCAGGAAAGGTTAGTTGTTAAAAATAGTAAAGTGTGAGAGCGGATGTTCAACTTGCTCTCTTGCTTACGCAATTGATCATTAGCTGAAATAAAACAGCGTAACTGCACTATACGTTCAGAATAGGCAATTACATTTCGACCATACCATAATACGTTCCCAGCACAATCCCACATCAGTGTAACGTGAGGTACGTAATTACATGATAACACCAAAATATGCAAAGTGTAACACAGGGCAGCCTCAGCAACATCTTCCTTGCCTGCACCCGAATTACTACAACGAACAGAACCACGACACTATCTTAGCACTCGTAGAATGACTTCACTCATAGAATGAATCAAGCGGAATCTCATGCGCTCTTTTTTTTTGCGCCCAGAAGCAATTGAAAAGGGCTACCACGTTACGCGAGGGAGTGGAGAATGCTTTATGCATACCACGACAGCCGGCTGTTAAAGAGGACGCAGATCTTGCGCTCTGCACCTACACTGAACTTTATACTGTACAAACGAGGGAAGGAGGTTTCTCGAAATACCCTCAATTCAAACGCACCACCATCGATATGAACCTCCACTAGAGTGACGCAACCTCTCGCTCACTCTCGATCCAACCGGTATTTTATAGACGCGCCTACACGACCAACCCTGACATACGACAGTCTTCGGGCGTGTATCTTCATGAATTCCTGTAACAAGCACTTCAATCCTTCGGCTAACGGATTAACTGTAAGTAAAGTGCAAGTGTGGAATATAGTGCAATGACAGTGCGTCAAAGACTTGTGATATTTCAAAGTGCAAAAATAAAAAAGACTTTTGAAGAAATTTGAGTGAAAAAGGCTTAGTTGAATTTGTATCAAAAAAGACAAAAATTTGCTCTGTTTTTACACTAGACAATTCAAATTTAGTAGATTTGAACTTACCAAACAAATATAACATTGAGTGGTGAACATTTAGCATCTGCGTTTAAATAGTGATATGTGTCTAAAATAAACTTATTCATCAATTTACATTTCCGAATATTATTCAATATACATCAACTTGCAAAACAACATGTAGCTATTATAATCCAAAATTCAACTAAAATCGAGAAATTACTTACAAATACGAAGAAATGTTCAAATGATAAACGAACAAGAGGTTATTTAGATACGCGCATGGAGACATTACTTGAATATTGGGCTTGTTACACAAAAGGTTATGATTTAATTGCTGTATAGTTGGACAGTCAAAAATTGAAAAATAAATATGATTTCGATATTGATGATAATTTTGAACAAACAGAGGAACATTATTTGAATTTAAAGACTTGGCTAAAGGATAGGTTTTATGATATTACACCAATGAGTAAACCTTCAAAATCTGACACATTTCAGGACTTTTTAAACTTAGACCAAAGCTACCACCATTAGCTAATATCTTTCCTTGATACATTGTGATGACCGCTTGTCTAAAATCGAAAAACATCATTATTTAATATCTAGTCTGACCGTAGAAGCACGCTTCTACAATGACCGGGGGTACATTGTAGAAGCGTGCTCGTCGCGACCCCTGCCAGCCCTTTTCAGGGCTGCAATTCTACTCAGCTGCGCACCCATGACAACGAGGGTTAGGGCGTCCCCCCAAGGCGACGCACACCAGCTCGTCCCCGTTGGTGTGGAATGCAGCGCGCAAAGCGGCGATGGGGACCGCCACCCGTCACGCACAGCCCGACACGGCGGAAGGTGGAGGACAGAGTGCAGAGTTGGCACGTGGAATGTTAGAGGAGGCATGAGAGATAAGACGAATGAGTTGATCGAAATAATGAAAGAAAGAGAATTAGATGTCGTGTGTATGTCGGAGACCAAACGGAAGGGCAGTGGTACTGAAGAGCTCCCTGGCGGGGCGTTAGCTCTATGGTCCGGAGTCCCGGAAAGCGAGAACGCCTGCCAGGGAGTGGGGGTGCTGCTGTCTTCTCGGTTGGTCGATGTTATGACTGAATATAAGTTTGTGAACTCAAGACTTCTCTGGGTTCGCTTTAAATTGGGACTGACGAAGTTATTCCTTTTGGCTGTTTATGCGCCGGTAGCTTCGTCGTCCAGGGCTGAGCTGGAGGAGTTTTGGGAGAATGTAAGAGAAGTTCTAGATTTGGCTAGGGGAAACGAAAGAATTGTATGTGGTGATTTGAATGGATGGGTTGGTACCGCTCGACCAGGGTACGAGTCGGTACTTGGAAAGTTTGGCGATAAAAGGGTTAACGATGCTGGCAAGCTTATACTGGCGGTATGCAAGGAAAAGGGTCTTCTTGTGACAAACACTATGTTTAATCACAAGAAAATCCATATGTATACCAGAGAAAGAAAGAATGAGAGAAGTATGATCGATTTGTTCCTGGTGGATGACCGACTGCGAAAACAGGTTATGGATACGCGAGTGTTCAGGGGTGCTGACCTGGGAACGGATCACTATCTAGTGATTACTAGATTTAGGGGTCTGTTCGCGGGTTGGCGCTACCGGACGGCAGTGACAGAACCACAGTCGGTCTGTCGCATCCGAAGCTGGAAGCTTCAGGAAGCGGATACTAGGGACAAATATCATGCGAGGGTAGCCGAAAAGCTTGACACCATCGATAGCAGAAACGAATGTGTAGAAAGAACATGGCAGAACCTTAGGGATGGAATGGTAAGTGCAGCGGAAGAAGTGTGTGGAACAATAAAAAGAGGCAGTAGTAAAAGAAGAGATGCATGGTGGAATGATGAAGTGAAAGAAGCTGTAAAGAAGAAGAAGAAAGCATGGTTAGACTACTTGGCCTCTAGTAATGATAAGGATATGAGAGAGAAGATGATAGAAAGATATAGGCTGCAGAAAGTTCACACGAAAGCATTGATTGAGGAAGTGCGTGAAAGGTGTAGAATGGAAGCGGACGAAAGGTTGTCGCACAACTTTAAGGAGAACTCCAAACTCTTCTCGAAAGAGGTTGGAAGGACCCGAAGTGGTGCGACGGCCTTAAGAATGAACAAAGTGCTTTCGGGAACTAATGACGTCCTCTCAGAAAAATCGGACGTCATGCAGCGATGGAGCGAATTTTATAGAGAAATGTACGCGTGTGATGATCTTAGTGAGGGATCCGGGGATGACGCCGTGACTGGTACGCCAGACCCGGACCTCGATGACACTGAGGTCATCAGTATGAAAGAGATTGAACGTGCGATTCGAAGTTTGAAATGTGGTAAGGCTGCGGGACTAGACAGAGTTACTGCTGAAATGGTCAAGTATGGTGGGCCTCGCGTCTGGGACAGCTTTCATCTGCTGTGCAATTTGTGCTGGCGGACGGGGGATGTCCCGGATGATTGGCGATCCGCAGTCATTGTGCCTTTATATAAAGGTAAAGGTTCACATTTTGACTGCGGGTGTTATCGGGCGATCAGCTTGACCAGTTTAGCAAGTAAAGTTTACTCGAAGGTTTTGACACGTAGGATGCAAGAGAAATCGGAAAGATTTCTATGGGAGGCACAATGCAGATTTAGACCTGGAAGAGGATGCACGGATCAAATGTTTTCTCTCCGCATGATCACGGAAAAGCTTCTGGCTGCTAACCAGAAGATTTTCTGTGCTTTTGTGGATCTTGAGAAAGCATTTGATAAGGTTGTAAGGAAGAAAATGTGGGAACTGTTGCCGGGGTATGGTGTGGATGGTCGATTGCTAAGGGCTGTGCAGTCTCTTTACTGTGACTGTAAAGCCTGTGTGCGGGTAGGGCATGACCTGTCACCCATGTTTAGCGTCCAAACGGGCGTAAAACAGGGTTGTGTCATGTCTTCCTGGCTGTTCATACTGTATCTCGACAGCTGTTTACAAAAGCTGAAAGATAGCTGTTTGGGTGTGAATTGGGTGACATTAAAGTAAATTGTCTGCTGTATGCTGATGATGCAGTGCTTATTGCACCATCAGAGGCAGAACTGCAGGCATTAGTCACGTGTATGAAAGAGGAATGTGAAATTAAAAGTCTCCGTTTGAACGCAAATAAAACTAAGGTTCTGGTATTTGAAAGGGACGAAGAGAGAACGAAGTGTGAAATATGGGTAAATCAGGAATGTCTAGAACAAATAAATGAAATTGTATACTTGGGGAGTGCATTTAGCCGGGATGGAAGATGTGATTTAGATGTGGACAGGCGTGTCGCTGCCGGGAACAAAGTCAATGGTGCCCTGATTGCGTTAGTCAAAAGGCAAGGCGTAGTGAAGAGTGCACACCTTGCAATACATAACGCAGTGTTGGTACCGACTTTGTTATATGGCAGCGAAACCTGGGTATGCCAGAAGAAGCATAAAAGCAAGTTGAATGCAGTGGAGATGCGATCTCTTCGTAAAATGTTCGGCGTTACCATCGCCGACCGAAAGCGAAACGAAGAGATTCGCAATATGGCAGGTTTGAAAGATGACCTTATCACAAAAATTGATAAGGGCGTGCTTCGGTGGTTTGGGCACTTTGAGCGAATGAGTGAAGACCGAATGGTGAAGAAAATATATAGCGCGAAAGTTAATATTAAAAGGTGTCGAGGTAGACCGAGACTAACTTTCGAAGACCATGTGAGCAAATTGCTCGAAGAGAGTAGGGTCAAGAGTACTCGGATACCTAGACGTGCATGTATGAAGAAGATAATGAATCTGAAAGAAGCGAAAGAGGTATGTAAGGATCGTGACACTTGGCGATCTGTTCTCTCTGGCTACCCCGTCAGGGATTGTGCGTGAAGATAAGTAAGTAAGTAAGTAGTCTGACCGGAGAAGCCGAACAGTTACTCAAAAATTATTCTTCAACTGAAGCTAACTATGACAATGCATGGTAAACTAAATGATAGATATGAGAATAAGTGAATGATTGTGAATAATATTCTAAGTAAATTTTTAACTCAAAAAAACTAACAACTGAATCAACAAAATGTATCAAAGATTTACTAGACACTACTAGTCAATGTCTCACATCTCTAAAAATTTGAATATTGATTCATGGAATGCAATAGTCGTTCATATTCTAGGCTCAAAGTTAGAAATTGAATCTCACAAGCTTTGGGAATAGTCGTTAGAAAGGTCAACAAATATGCCCACATATGACGAACTAAACAGCTACCTAGAAAAACGATTCCGAACAATGGAAATGGTTAATTTTTCACAACCTCGAGAAATATTTAGAAAGGATACACCGAAATTTATTCAACATACTCCAAAAGAAAAGTTTTGGTACCGAAGTCGAAAGCACTTGCGCTCACAGAATCATTACATTTGCCACTGTAAAGAGTTTTCTGCATTAACGGTTTCTGAATACCAAGATTTTATAAAGAAAAACAATATATGTTTCAATTGCCTGGTGAAAGGTCACTCCGTGTTCAATTGTAGGCAGAGTACAAACTGTAAAAAATGTGGACGTCGACATTATACGTTACTACATTTCACAACCTTTCCCAAGAATAACACTTCTGATAATGCTCAAAAGGATACCGCTCCACCAAAGAATGCCTCTACACCTAGTACTTCTTGCAACCTCAGTGTAAACTTGAAGGCTGGAACAAATGATGAAATGGTTATCTTAACTACAGCCGAAATAAAGGTTGAGTCCAGGAACAATGGTATCTATACACTAAGAGCTCTTGTTGATCAGGGGCTCACAGGGCTCTTCCATCTCTTAAGTAGCAGCGCAGTTATTGAATCTTGATCGCACTCCCGTTATTGGCAGGATATCTGGTATATCAAACTTTTGAATGAGATAATATCCCTGAAATACATTCATAGATGCCCTCTACACGCCTAGGCAAGCGTCAATCAGTTCGATCAATCATGATTGACGTTTGTGTGATAGAATAATTTCGACATTACACGCTCATGCTGACTGATGTCAGTCAAACCCAAATTTTCGGAGGGAAAGGACCTACCTATAAATTAAGTTCATTTTCGATTCACCATTTAATTATAATTTTAGATCTTGAAAAGAAAAAGAAAAAAACGAATAGGAAAAATTGTAATATTTAATATCATTTTACCCATTTTAATTTAACGCGCGCCAATGTTCGGCCTCTTGGAGTGCATAATCGATACGCGGCTTTATTTGAAACGCATTTATGGACGAAAAATAAGCTTAACTTTAACATTTATTCGTATAGAGTGGATTACCAGCCCCTATTACCAGCCTTTTAGTGTCAATTTCAATTTCCTTTTGTGTACCTAATGCCAGCATAACATAGGACTATGCCTTTTGAGTTTTGGTAGGTACCTATTGCAGGTAAGTTTTAGGGGTACTGAAATAAATTCATAACAACTTTTAATTTTAAATCATGCATGTCACAAGTATGGAATATGTATTGAGATAGACGACAACAATTATTTTATTTTAATGTTTTACTTCTTACCTTACTGTGTGCTTTAAGCAGTATAATTTTTCTTTTAACACTAAACAATTAATTAACACAAAATTATAATAAAAAATATGTACACCGATTCCTTATAATTTAATCATCCAAGTTCTTCATCATCATTTCAGCCCTTCACAAGTCGACTACAGAACATCATCCTCCATAGACTGCCACAAAGCATGGTCCTGAACCACTTTCCTTGTTATGGCTTTTTCATGTTCTTAAGTTATAGTAAAATTAGTATTACTAAGTTGTAGTTAATTACATTTATTGTTTGTTTTTGTCTTTCTCAAAAAGCAATTAAATATTGTATGGTATACTTAACATAATATACCAAATGTCTGAAGAACAAGTACGTATCATTTTTTAAACTTTTAAATCAAAAACCAATTTTAAATTATAGACGAATTGATCATAACTTACATAACTATAAAATAAGTTATGTTCAAATTAATGGTATTTATTTCCGTTTATGACAGCCCTGATTTATATTACGTGGCTGAAATAAGGTACTTCTTATTATTTACGTCAAACCAAATAACAGTCGGGCGACTGACATTATGCACTCTATAAATTTCGTATATCTAATTACAGCCCCATTAATTTCCACTAAAATAAAATAAAAAACTTTAAACATAAATAGCTGCATTACTATGTCTATAGTCATATTCATATAAATCAAAAAGCCTAAAGATGAGCTAATGTAAAATATGCTTATGTTTTGATTTTTAATTTAACACTGTTAGGTTTAAAACTGTGAGGTAATATTTGATAAATATACTTTCCTCTAATTACGAAGAATTTTAGCCGACAATATTTGTATTAAGACTACTAGAAATCTTATTTACGTAGTGAAAAGGCGGAAAGGCTGGAATTAGGGGTGTGGCTGGTATTAAGGGCATCCAACCTACCCGGGGTTTTTCGTGTCCCACAACTCGGGGAGAGCCTCAAAATTTAAAATAAAATCTTTTTCTGGCTGAAACACATTTGGTGGGAGTGGCGACGGGCTGCGCGAGCGCGTAGAAGCAGCCACTTCAATATATTCTGCGTCCGCCTCCATTGCTGTCTAAGCCTTGACTGACGCGTGATTGACGAAATGCCATTACACGTTCAATCAAAATTCGTGACTGATAGTTGATTGACGTAAAAATCAAAATATCCAGATCACCGTATTACACGATAGGTTATTCATCAATCACAACCGTGATTGTTGTAAAACTGACAGCAAAATAAAATACATACATAAAGAACCGGAGAACTTTTTTACTAGTAACGAGGCATTCTAGCTTAGTACTCGGAGGTCATAACGCATATGTTTGTTTTGATGTATGTTTTGATTCTAAGTCGAGGATAGATGTCCAAGCATTCACTTACCATCTTACCATCAGGTGACGCTAATTCTAATTCTACAAAAAACTTCTTTTTATTGTTGCAAATTTGTAGATCAACCCATTGTCTCTCAAAGTTTAACAATGAAATTGCAGGACTGACAGTCATGGCTTAGCCTGCGTAATATATAATTATATTAGCTTAGCCATGGTTAGTAAGTAATATAATTACATACACGTTGGCCACTCAGAAAGTTTTGCAAATTTAAAAAAGTTCTATGGTTAAAGATTTTATCATTAAATATTTTCAAAGAACTCTACACCAGCATCTATAAAAAGTTTCATGCGTCTGAAACAATTTTTGAAACAGTTTTTCCGGTCAGCCTCAAAAACCTATTCTACGTGGCCTGCACGAATACTGATAGCGCATATTTCGGCGATGAAACTGCATCCAACTCCTACCAAATCAAAACTCTAAGGAGGGTGACCCAAAAGTTTAACCTGTGTCTTGTCCAGGAAGTCTTTATTTTTAAGCCCTATGTGCGCGGACGTGTTATCATGGTGAAACGTAAGCGTGAAAGAATTGACACCACATACCCCGTCAAAATGAAAAAAAAACTAGCGATCAAACTCTTCCGTGCGCTATTCGATCGCTTCTATTTTTAACCCCGGACGAAAACAGAGGGGTGTTTCTGTGTATCTGTCAGTCTTTGTATCTGTCTGTGGCACCATAGCTCCTAAACGGATAAGGCGGAAGTTTGTTTTCGTTTGAAAGTTGTCTGAATCGAGAATGTCATTAGCTATGTTTGAAGAAAATCTGTTCAACCGTTTGAAGATCACCAGCTTTTTTTGTTCGGGTTTAGAATTTTTAACTTAATTTATGTAGGCGGTGGTTCATTTTAAAATAATTTATTTATAATTAAGTGACTTACTTATAAATAAATTATTTTAAACTTAGTGAAACTTCGTTTCTGGATTGTATTGACAAATCCTATAATTATCACGTGTAATAATATCGTTACCACGCCGACACTGTCCTACCAGCTCACGGTACCATTTCACCCGCGTCTATTGCGGTATTGGTTGGTGCGGTTATTGTGCAACACCTAAGGCAAAACTATCCTACTCACGCGAAGCTTTTCGTGTAAAATCTTGTAGATGCTTCCGAGTCGAGTCAAATCTGCAATATTGTGCTTATATACGTAATCAATTAAATTATTCAGTGCTGTTACCTTTTCTTCCGAAACAGTTCTTAAAGTTATACGAGTAATCTGTCATACCAGCGGTACACGGTTGCTTTAGAAAAAATTATGCCTTTATCGCTATTATAATATATATGAATGCCTTTTTAATGATAAGAAGTGCTTTTATCCATGATTGTTTAATGAATCTATTTGAAGTCTAATAAATGATTCGTTAAGTTCTCATCAAAATTGTTCCCGATGAAAATCCACGATATTTAAATTTAGGTCGTAAAAATGTAGAAACCAATCAGAAATTGAAAAAATATATATATGTATGTATTTCCCATAGTTATCATGCTTGGCAAGCGGGTTGGCTACCGCATTTTTTTATTTTTATACAACTATTATTGTGAAGATGCTGCTGCCCATCTCCTGGTTATTTTTCCTCTGTCGTCTCTAATAACACTCACGGATGATATGGGGTAGTGGATTTTTCACCGCCACTACACGGTCATTTTGTGTTACTTGTAAATATTTTTTTCTTTTGTAAAACTTTCTGCGTGGCCTATTCTGTGGTTTTAACTTACTTCGTAAGACGCTTAGATAAATGTATTTTTCAGCGTTCGAAGACGTTCTAGAATAAAGATCTCATAATTTATTTCAGAAGTTCTAACTGCAGTTTCTCAAAGTTTAGTAATGGGAAGTAGTTCTTCCGAGCGCGCCGTGGGTTCACGTGTTGTAGCCTTGCAACCTGATGGTGTAGTACAAGGTTCAATAGCTTGGGAACGATATGGCACCGGTGAACCAGTTGCCGTACCATCGCCACAGATGGATAAACCACCAGATCCTGAATACCCGTGGTTAGTATGTGGAACAGTCTTAATTATAACATATCCTTAAACACGCGGAAAGATACAGTTTACTATAAATTAAGTTTTACTATTTTTATTACTTTAAAATTGATGAATAAAGACGCAACGCCAGTTTCCACCAACTTCAGGTATGTATCTGCGTATCAAACCGAAGAACTGAGATCATCTAGATTTATGCCCTCGCCGCCCGGGGCTGCAATGGGAGGCTGGTGGACGTACCCATATTACAGCTGTGAGGCTGAACGTTGGCTGATGTCATATACAGCTCCAGTATCGAAAATTCGTGGGTGAGTCTTTTTAGCAAACTGCACCAATTCATCTAAAATTGCAACTAGTTAACAATAACCATAATAAATCTTATCTCAGCAGCTTTCAAGACTGAAACTAGTCGTTTATTGTGTGAAATAACTTTTTGATATTTATTAGTTATACTTTTAAATTTAATTATTTTTTCTGTTTTTATTTATTCCAGATTAAGCGGTGTAGTATCACTGGACATAGACATATCTAATTTGGAAATAAATCAATGCGAAGCGAAGTATGAAGACGAAAACGACAATCAAATTTACTCTTTTCATGGAACACACAAATGTCCCAATGAGACGACTTATGTAAGTTTGACTACTTTTACTTGTCTATAACGAGGCAGTATTTTTTCCTCTACTGTTCATTCAGTTGCCGTTTGATGGCATCGTAAGAAAATTCATCACCCCACTCCGTCCCGTGAGTATTGTAATAAGCGACTACGGGACAAACTAGAAAAAAGATGGCGGATAAACATATTGTTTAAAACTGACGGAAAATACCCAGCAGCGTCAAATTTGCGAGACGTTAAGTAATGCGATCGTCAATCCGCCTGCCAGTGAGAGATTCAAGTTTAACAATATACGTTTACGGATTGATGATAATAATGATGACGTAGATAGTTATGCATCATCATCCTTATAAACAACCCCGTAAAAAGTCTGCCGTTGGACGCTAGACCATAGGTTGGATAAAGCTTAGCAAGCGGACTGACTAACGCAGCATTCTTGCATTTTGACGATAATCCCGGTTTTTGATATGGATTATATTGCGTATTGCGGCAGCCTGGAAATATTTATAACATTTACCTTAGTCACCTCTTATGACACTCACAGGATAGTATAGGGTAGGGGTCGGCAAGTAGTTTTAGGTGGGGTCCGGATACTGTGGGAAAAATTTAACAAGGTCCAGAAAAAAACAACTGATAATAATTAAGTGCTATGTATTATTTTGGTTTCAAATCACATTCTGAATTATAAAACACAAGACATAAAATTTATATGAGAAACTACACCGATGGTCTCGATAATATCGATTACTCTATACCTATACTATAGGTTGATCGATATTATTCCCAGAACGAGTCGGCAAGTAGTTAGTTTTCCTACATTTATTGAAATTATCAATTATATTTAACAACTTGTTTTTAAAAATATTATTTGTAACAAAACAGTGTATTTACAAACGAAATCGAGGAATGAACATAAGGCATACAGGATGGGCAAGAGGATCATATATTTGCAAATGTAGACCTGGATTTTATTCTATACATCATCCTGAAGGATTCAATGGCTCTCTAATTGAAGGTAAGTTCTAAATTAAATGCAGAAATTACTAATGGTTTTTTTTTTCTTTTATAGGATAGGGTGACAAACGAGCACACAGTCCCCCTGATGGTAACTGGTTACTGTGACCCATAGACATCTACATCTATCCTCAATAAAGACTCAAGATGCAGATGCGTTGTCACCCGTGAGGACTAAGATGGGATGCCTCTTTGCCAGTAAAAGGGGTCTCCGGTTCTCTACACTCACCATACGAAACACAGCAGCGTTAAGCTGCTATTTTACGCTGGTTTTCTGTGAGAGCGTGGTCCTTCCCCGGTCGAGCCGACCCATTCGTGCTACAACTATACTACTAATATAGCTGCAGCATGGCCCTACCACGTACAAAAAGTGAAGTATAGAACGCATTGGTACAGGTAAATACGGACAACGACATGAAAATGTTTTCAGATTGGTCGTTCAAAAATGTTTGCGTTAGCTTTACATCAGATTTCAGTATATTAGAACGAGTGGAAGGGGTGCCTTGTTTCCACCAATACTATTGTTGAGCGCCACCATTAATGCCTGGTACATGGCATCACTAGTTACTACTAGCGCCCTCTAGTATCGAGTAGCAGAAATTTCTAGAACTATTGGCACCCAGTCAGTCGGGACCGGTTTGTACTTGAACATTCTCGATGTTTCTACAGTAGAAGCTTAGGAAATTATGTGAGGCCCTATGTAAGACCGGTATACACACGGCACCCGCAACCCGGGCAGTATTGAAGTGGCGATATAATCGAATACTTCGAAGCGATACTACCGCTAACTCAAGTGATCAGTAGTACAATAATTGTGTTTTGTTATTAGTGTGGTTTGAGTTGTAATTAGAGTTCTTTTTTTTTTTCAACGTAAAAAAAATTAAAGTGTCAATTTTGGTAACGTTCACTTGGCAGTTTTTAATTGTCTCGAATCCCAAGCTCGTAGCAATTGGTGTCACAAGTGGGATCAAATGATGTCGATTTTACCAAAGAACGACACGGAAGGTATTCGTATCCGAAGTCAACGCCAGCAGGAGTCAGACCAGAGACGATTTGGTGGTGCAACGCCGCAGATGTCGGAGGGCCAACTGCTGACCACGGAGGCCGGCCCGTTATCAACTCCTGCATCTGCAGCACCTGACTTAGGTGCTCTGATGATGATGCTGCAGGAGCAGGTTCGCTTACAGGAGGAACAGGCCCGCCGATAGGAGGAACATTCCCGCTGACAGGAGGAATAGGCCCGTCGCTTGGAAGAGCAGCTTAAACGCGATAAGGAAGAGCAGATGCACCTCATGAAGGACCTTCACGCTACCTTCGGTAAATAGATAAGGGAGGTGAAGGACAGGGTTGCTCAGCTTGACAACCGCCTGTCGGAAGCTGAAACCCGAATGGACCAAGTGAACAATCAGGTTGACAACGTGATGGTTGACGTGAAGAAAACGTTGGACGACCTCAAACTTGAGGATGGAATTACAGCTCCCGTGGTAGCTACAACACCTTCGCTACGTGGATTCAAAATGCCGCCGTTCGACGGGACTTCCTCCTGGTCGGGCGACAAAATCCAGTTCGAGGCTGTCATGAAGGCGAACGGCTGGAATAAAAGTCAGGACAAGACTGTTCTCACCCTAGGCCTGCGCGACCAGGCCTTAACTGTTCTGGAAGCTCTCGCTAAGGAAGTGACTTACTAGTAGCTCCTTAAAGCATTGGAGGTAAGATATGGCGACGCTCACCTGGAATACGTCTTTCGTGCGCAACTCAAAGATTGCGAGAAACGCAGCAACTATAACCTGCAGCAGTGGGCCCCTGAGGTGGAGAAGTTGGTTCGAAAAGCATACCAGTCTGTACCTGCACTTATTGTACGAAACCTGGTGGACCCATTCATTGACAAAAGCCACAGGTTAGAGCATTTTTGGGTTTGTGCTCCTATTATCGGCGATTTGTGAAGAACTTTGCAGATATAGCCAAACCTCTGCACAAGCTAACCGAGGAGAAACGACATTTCTGCTGGGATAAAAGTTGCGATATCGCATTCCAGAAGTTCAAGCACCGTCTGTGCAATACACCTATATTGGGGCACCCTGATGCGGGCAAGGAATTTATAGTTCACACAGACGCAAGTGACATATGACTTGGCGGTGTATTGTCTCAACGGAATGGTAATCAAGAGGTTGTAATAGCATACTTCAGCAAGTCGTTGTCAAAGCCGGAAAGGAACTATTGTATCACAAGACGAGAATTGCTTGCTGTAGTAAAGTCGTTGCAGCATTTTAGCAAATATCTTCTGGGGCGGATATTTCACTTACGAACTGATCATGCTGCACTGAAATGGCTATTGCAGTTCAGAAATCCAGAAATTCAAGTTGCGAGATGTATGAACCACTTGCAGGAATACGACTTTTTATCAATCATCACAGCGGGAAATCTCATGGCAACGCAGATGCATTGTCAAGAAGACCTTGTCCTGAAGATTGCAAGAATTATACTAGGCAAGAAGGTAAGGAAGTGGCATCTGTGAGGATGCTCAGAAGACCAGCTCAGCAATGAGTGGAAGGACAACCTGCAACATGCACAGCTGGAAGATTCGGACATCAAGCCGATTCTGGAATGGATGAAGGCCAGTGCTCCTAAACGCAAGTGGCTCGACGTCTTGGCAATGAGTTCGACCACGAAAAGCTATTGGGCCCAATGCGACAGCTTGCTGATTCAGGATGGAGTCCTGTGCGATAAATGGGAAAATGGTCGGGGAGAGAGTTGTCATTTGCAAATGGTTGTCCCTAAAGCTAAAGTACTGGATGTTCTACAGCTGTACCATAATGGTTGTTCAGGAGGACACCTGGGAGTTAAACAAACTCTACTGAAGATCCGAGAATGGTTTTACTGGGTCCACTGTCGTGACGATGTTGAGGACTGGTGTCCCAAATATACAAGTTGTGCGGCTGTAAAGGGACCTCAAGCTCGTAGTAGAGGTGCATTGAAATTGTACAATGTTGGTGCACAATGGGAGAGGATAACCCTTGAAATTGCGGGAGCATTTCCGGAAAAGGAAAGTGGTAACAAGTATTTCATGGTTGTGATAGATTACTTCACTAAGTGGCCTAAAGTTTTCGCCATTCCAAATAAGAAGCTTCAACAGTTGCAGATAAATTAGTTCATGAATTCTTCTGTCGGTTTGGATGTACCTTTAGTGATTCACAGCGATCAAGGAAGGAATTTTGAGCCTCAAATATTCCAGGAAACTTGCCGAGTTATACTCATATATACGTACTCATAAAGCAAGAACAACTTCTTACCACCCACAATCTGATGGAATAGTAGAACGATATTATCAGACATTGAAGAGGTACCTAGCAAAAGTTGTGGAAAATCGGCAACGAGACTGGGACAAGCACATACAACCGTTTTTATTGTCATATCGAAACGCTGTTCACGAAAGTACATCAGTAACACCAGCTTTTGGAAACTTTGGAAGAGAATCACGGCTTCCTGCAGACTTGATAACCGGAATACCACCTGATGCCCCACGCAGTATAACCGATTATATGACTTGCGGAACAAAATGAATGACATTTATGAGCACGTCAGACAATTGGGCCAGAAATTTCTGAAAGGATGAAAACCCGGTATGACCGCAAAATGAACAACAAAGGGTTTGACGAAGGTTCACTAGTGTGGTTGCACAATCCAGTTCGCAGCAAAGGGAAATCTAAGCGCCAAGCTAAATTTGACGGACCGTACCGGATTGTGACAAGGATCAATGACGTAACCTACCGAATACAAAAAGGTTTTTATAAAGTATTCAGAAATGTTATCAGGAAGATGCTGCTACCCATGCCATGTCGGGACGGTAGGGGGTAGTTGATATATTATTTATATTACTACGTGTTTTTCTATATTAAGTCATTAAATGTTTATTCAAATAATAGAAACGTACTATTCCATATTTCATTTTCATAATGTAGTGGGTTGCCAACCCGCTCGCCGAGCGTGGCAACTATGGCAAATACCCCCCAAATGGATAAAGTTACTAAGAAACGGCCCCCAGTCCCCGGCGGCCCCGCTATTCTTGGCTACGGTGGCGACCATGGTAACGGCGGGGCAGGGGGTGCTAAGAATCTCCGGTGGAGGTTCGGTGGCCACCTACGACGACTCGACATACAACGCACGCACCCTGAGGACTGACGAGAAAATTGTAGAGCTGAAAGAAGAGATAGAGAAGATATGCTGGCATATTATAGGATTATCCAAAGTCCGAAGAGAGGTGGAGGAAACGGTAATCCTCGAATCCGGCAACTTGCTCTATTACCGGGAGGGCGATCATCTGTCCTAAAGATGTCGGATTTATCGTCCACAAGTCTCTCGTTAACAACGTTGGACAGATTCAGTGTGTGTCGACGAGAGTTGCGTACCTTATACTCAGAATCACCAAACGGTATTCGCTGAAGGTCATTCAGGTTTACGCACCAACCTCGGCACACCCCGATGTAGAGATGGAGGAAATGTATGAGGATATCTCTAGAGCCATTCATTCCTCCAAAACCCAATATACGGTGTTAATGGGAGACTTCAATGCAAAACTAGGCACAATAGAGAATGGTGAGCTGAAAGTAGGGAAATTTGGAATAAGGCAACGGAAACCAAGGAGCCAGCAGCTGGCCGACTTCAAGGAGAAAGAAGGACTCTTCATGATGAACTCTTTCTTCCAGAAGCGGCCTCACAGGAAGTGGACCTGGTCGAGCCCCGACGGTTCGACAAAAAATGAGATTGACTTCATTATGACGACCAGACGACAACTGTTCAGTGATGTCTCAGTGATGAAAACCGGCAGCGATTACCGAATGGTTAGAGGCACACTGAACCAAAACGTTAAGTTGGAGAGGTCTCGTCTAATGAAGTCAACGCTCCGTCCCCCTCGTGCTCTAATCTAAAGTCCCGAAACCTTTCAGCTCGAGTTACAAAACCGTTTTCAGTGCCTAGAAGACTGCAATGAAGTGGACGATGTGAATGACAAGCTCGTGGAAACTGTCCATGCGGTCGGAGCTAAGTTCTGCAAGACCCGCCGCAGAAGAACACAAAAACTCTCCGATCACACTCTTAATCTCATGGCTGTTAGACGGGAGATGAAGCTACATTCTTCAACAGATTTGACAGCATACAGGCAACTGAACAGACAGATCTCTAAATGCATGCGGCGGGACGTACGCAACTTCAATACAATATACATAGTTTTGAAGAAGCGATCGAGCGGAACCAAGGCTGCAAATTCTTTGCCAGAGATCTGTCTGCCAGAAAGAGCCAACTGTCAAAGCTGAAGACAGAATGTGGCAGCATCGTTTCCGGGGCACCTGAGATTTTGAGTGAGATTTAGAGGTTCTATGAGCAGCTGTACACGTCATCGTTGGAGCCACACGCGAGTGTAAGTAACGATCCAAAAGCGAGTCTTATCCGACATTATCCCGATGATATCCCGGACGTCAGTCTGAGTGAGATTAGAATGGCTCTCCAGCACCTTGAAAACGGAAAGGCCCCAGGCGAGGATGGAATTACAGCGGAGCTTCTGAAAGCGGGTGGAAAACCGGTACTTGAAGTCCTTCAGAAGCTCTTTAATTCCGTCCTCCATGGTGGCATTACACCGGAGGCGTGGAGCAGAAGTGCGGTGGTCTTGTTCTTCAAGAAAGGCGACAACGCTCTCTTGAAGAACTATAGACCGATTTCCCTTCTGAGCCGCGTCTACGTGCTGTTTTCGAGAGTCATTACAAATCGTCTCGCGCGCAGACTTGACGACTTCCAGCCTCCCGAACAAGCCGGTTTCCGAAAAGGCTTTAGCACCATAGACCACATACATACCCTTCGGCAAATTGTACAAAAGTCAGAGGAGTACAATTTGCCACTATTTCTGGCGTATGTGGACTATGAGAAAGCCTTTGATTCCGTCGAAATTTGGACGGTGCTGCAGTCCCTTCAGCGGTGCCAAGTGGACTGTCGGAATATTGAAGTGCTGAAGTGCTTCTACAGTAGGGCTACGATGGCTATCCGAGTACAGAACCAGAGTACGAAACCTATCCAATTGCAGAGAAGTGGAATACAGGGTGATGTTATATCCCCGAAACTCTCACCGCTGCATTGGAAGACGTTTTCAAGCTTCTGGACTGGAAAGGATACGGTATTAACATCAATGATAATTAGATTACTCACCGGCCATATAGCTCGAAGAACCGACAGTCGATGGGGAAGAATGGTTCTCGAGTGGCAGCCTCTTACCGGCAGGCGAAGTGTAGGGCGTGCCCCCACTATACGGAATGATGTTTACCTGGGACAAATAGTCCGACTAGGTAAGTCCAACTTCGACCGAGAGGTCAATCGACGGATTCAACTCGGCTGGGCAGCGTTCGGGAAGCTACGACACATCTTCTCGTCAGACATACCTCAAAACCTTAAAACGAAATTGTACAACCAGTGCGTGTTGCCAGTGATGACTTACGGAACTGAGACGTGGTCCTTCACTGCTGGCCGTATGAGGAAGCTCAAGGTCGCTCAGCGAGTTATGGAGAGTGCTATGCTCGGAGTTTCTCTGCGTGATAAACTTAGGAATGAGGATATCCGCAGTAGAACCAGAGTAACCGACATAGCCCAACGGATTAGTAAGCTGAAGTGGCAGTGGGCCGGCCATATAGCTCGAAGAACCGACAACCGATGGGGAAGAAAGGTTCTCGAGTGGCAGCCTTGTATCGGCAGGCGAAGTGTTGGGCGTCCTCCCACTAGATGGAGTGACGACCTGGTAAGATATGCAGGAAGTCGATGGATGCAGGTGGCTCAGAACCGTGCTTTGTGGCATTCCTTGGGGGAGGCCTATGTTCAGCAGTGGACTTGTGAAGGGCTGTAATGATGATGAATGATAACGTTGTATTCTGATTTAGTATCTGTATATTAAATGCATACTTCAAGAAATTAAAGGAGTTCATACCCCAATTTTAATAGCAATTAAGTAACTATCATTATAAATATTGATGAAAACAGCTACCTGCTATCAAGGAGTGTTTTTATATACTATATACATTGACAACTACTGCAGGTAAATATTACGAGTAAACAAATTTTGAATTTTCAGTTGCGTACCAAGAATATGAAGAAGGTGGTCTAGAAAATTGGAGTGAGCCTTACGAATGCTTTAAATGCCAACCTGGTTGTGAAACATGCAGTGGCCCAGAACCATGTCTTGCCACATACAATTGGCCTTTCCGGTGAGTCATATACGGAATTATAAATAGAGAAGAGATCATTTTATAAAGAAATATATATAAGAATTATTAACTTCCTGAATAAAATGATTATACTTAAATTTGAAACGTTATGTATGTATATGGTAGGTACCAAGTAGGAACACTGCTCATTGATCATTTTTGATATGTGCAGCGTATAATCAAACACGTTAAATTTTAATGCAACTAGCTAATTAACTTTACGTTTGATACAACATTGATACATCATGCTATTGCAATTATTACGCTTTAGCCAGAACCGTTTAAGCATTTATTAACAACTAGCTGTTCCCCGCGACTTCGCCCGCGTGTTATTTGGAGTTTTAATATTTTTGCGCGGAACCCTAATTCTTTTTCTAAAATAAAAGTAGCCTTAGTTACTTTTTGTGACATCAGCTATCTGCCAGTGAAAATCCCGTCAAAATCGGTCCAGCCGTTTCGAAGATTAGCCGGAACAAACAGACAGACGGACAGACAGATAGACAGACAGACAAAAACTTTAAAAATTGTATTTTTGTTATTAGTACCGTATATATTTTCATATGCATTTAGTAAAAAGCTGTAATTTTAAAATTACAAACAGACACTTCAATACTTGTATGTATAGACTAGCTAGTTGGTACTCGGAGCGTTGTTGCTGCCGCAGAAGAAATAATTGTGGAAATATTTCTTCTGCGGCAGCGTATATTTTTAAATTATTTATTACGTAATAACTATTATTATAATTAATTATTAAATTATAATAATAGTTATTACGTAGTTGGCTAACCTAACAACATTTTATGTTGACCACATCACTACTAAAAATCTTTTATATTTTGAATAAATAGATTGACTTGGCCATCGCATGTAAACGTAATGTATCGCACAAGTAATACATATTATATCAAATTAGATTGTTTAGTGCGATTGCAAAGTCAATTTATTTATTTAAAACATAAAAGATTTTTGATATTGATATGGTAACTATAAGATTTTGTTAGGTTAGCTAATTACGTAATAATTTAAGACAGAAGGACCCTTAAGTAGGGACTTATAAATTAAGCGACTTGGTATTACATGGATCTCACAACTTTTTACGGTAGAAGAACTGAGTTGCGAGACTTTTTGCTTTTTTTACAAGTTATGTTTTTGATGGCATCTCATTTCTTTTTGTAGATAGTTATATCTAGGTACCTATCTTCACCTATTATTCCATTATATTCTACATAAATATATAGGTACACTGATTCATTCACTGCAAATGTAACTTTGTAATCATATATATTTATATGAGATTACAAAGTTATTTATGCAATTGGTGTATCAATACAATATACAATACTTACAATACAATAATAATACAAATATAAAATATTTTAATTTTTCCTTGATTTATATTTTAAACAATAATTTTATTCCAAGTTTGAAGCTTCTATGTCTGCTAGAAGTGCCTTAGAGTTTTGATGATCGGTCAGTCAGTGAGTGACAAAATTAAGAAACTTTGACTAGTTATAATTCTTAAACTACTGGTTCAAATTTAAAGAAATTTGAAATATACCGAGTTTATACAATGCCTACTTGGTTAGTGAAAATTCTGGCTTCTAGTTTTATCCACAACGAAGTTATAGGGATTCGAAAATGGCCTGAACTGCTTCAAGAAAAGGATGGTACGGCCGTGTCGCTTACTTGCTCGACTTGGCGGGGGCTGTACTATTTATAACCTTCGCGCAAGTGCAAGCAATAAGTTGACAAAGTTTCTCCGCAATCTGATGAATGGTGTGGCAGCGCATAAAATACGAACAAACAAACATTTTTTTTATTAAGTAAATACTCCTCAAATATATCATTAAAAATACCATTAAAAAGAGCCCGTAGATAAGGATTTTAAGCAAATAGGTGTTTATAATTGTTTTACTTCTACGGTATTGTGGCGTTAAAGGCTAATAGAATGCATTTTTACGTAGTAGAACTCCTTCTCTGCCTAGCTATGTGTTATACCAAATAGGAATAATTATAAATATCTAGTTAATACTATTATTTCTTTTTGTACATTACAGGATATCATTGCTGGTTATATCAGTGTCGTGTGCAGGGTTGACAGTCTGCCTTACCATCTACACGCGCCATCATCGTCGTGTTAAAGTGTTTCGTGTAGCCAGCCCTGTATTTCTCTCAATAACATTATTAGGATGTGCCATTATGTATATGGAAGTAAGTTATAATTCATATATAATAACATTTTATTTTACTAATATAACTGTATCCATAATAACTGAATTAATACAAAACAACGATGTTGTTTCATTAACAAGTAATGTAGTAATTTAAAAGTGTTATTAAATAATACTATAAAATGTGATGTATAAAATAGAACAAATTCAATGTGGTAGAGTAGAGCCATGCGGCAGCTATATTATCTCGATCGGGGGAGAACCAGGCTCTCACAGATACCAGCGTAAAATAGCAGCTTAATGATGCTGTGTTGCGTATGGTGAGTGTAGCGAACCGGAGACCTATTTTACTGAAAACGAGGCATTCTATCTTAGTCTTCAGGCGTGACAACGCATCTATATTTTAATTCTTAATCGAGGATAAATATAGGATAATGATATGAAATATAGATGTCTATAGGCCACAGCATCCACTTACCATCAGGTGAACCGTATGCGCGTTTGTCGATGGTTTATTGTTTTTCTTTATACTTAACTTAACTTATCTTCACGCACAATCCCTGACGGGGTAGCCAGAGAGAACAGATCGCCAAGTGTCACGATCCTTACATACCTCTTTCGCTTCTTTCAGATTCATTATCTTCTTCATACATGCACGTCTAGGTATCCGAGTACTCTTGACCCTACCCTCTTCGAGCAAGTTGCTCACATGGTCTTCGAACGTTAGTCTCGGTCTACCTCGACACCTTTTAATATTAACTTTCGCGCTATATATTTTCTTCACCATTCGGTCTTCACTCATTCGCTCAACGTGCCCAAACCATCGAAGCACGCCCTTATCAATTTTTGTGATAAGGTCATCTTTCAAACCTGCCATATTGCGAATCTCTTCGTTTCGCTTTCGGTCGGCCATGGTAACGCTTTTATGCTTCTTCTGGCATACCCGGTTTCGCTGCCATATAACAAAGTCGGTACCAACACTGCGTTATGTATTGCAAGGCGTGCACTCTTCACTACGCCTTGCCTTTTGACTAACGCAGTCAGGGCACCATTGACTTTGTTCCCGGCAGTGACACGCCTGTCCACATCTAAATCACATCTTCCATCCCGGCTAAAAGCACTCCCCAAGTATACAATTTCATTTACCTGTTCTAGACATTCCTGATTTACCCATATTTCACACTTCGTTCTCTCTTCGTCCCTTTCAAATACCAGAACCTTAGTTTTATTAGCATTCAAACGGAGACCCTTAATATCACATTCCTCTTTCATACACGTGACTAATGCCTGCAGTTCTGCCTCTGATGGTGCATTAAGCACTGCATCATCAGCATACAGCAGACAATTTACTTTTATGTCACCCAATTTCACACCCAAACAGCTACCTTCAGCTTCTGTAAACAGCTGTTGAGATACAGTATGAACAGCCAGGAAGACATGACACAACCCTGTTTTACGCCCGTTTGGACGCTAAACATGGGTGACAGGTCATGCCCTACCCGCACACAGGCTTTACAGTCACAGTAAAGAGACTGCACACCCCTTAGCAATCGACCATCCACACCATACCCCGGCAACAGTTCCCACATTTTCTTCCTTACAACCTTATCAAATGTCCTCTCACGTCATTAGTTCTTGAAAGCACTTTGTTCATTCTTAAGGCCGTCGCACCACTTCGGGTCCTTTCAACCTCTTTCCAGAATAGTTTGGAGTTCTCCTTAAAGTTGTGCGACAACCTTTCGTCCGCTTCCATTCTACATCTTTCACGCACTTCCTCAATCAATGCTTTCGTGTGAACTTTCTGCAGCCTATATCTTTCTTTCGTCTTCTCTCTCATATCCTTATCATTACTAGAGGCCAAGTAGTCTAACCATGCTTTCTTCTTCTTCTTTACAGCTTCTTTCACTTCATCATTCCACCATGCATCTCTTCTTTTACTACTGCCTCGCTGCACTTACCATTCCATCCCTAAGGTTCTGCCATGTTCTTTCTACACATTCGTTTCTGCCATCGATGGTGTCAAGCTTTTCGGCTACCCTCACATGATATTTGTCCCTAGTGTCCGCTTCCTGAAGCCTCCAGCTTCGGATGCGACAGACAAACTGTGGTTCTGTTACTGCCGTCCGGTAGCGCCAACCCGCGAACAGACCCCTAAATCTAGTAATCACTAGATAGTGATCCGTTCCCAGGTCAGCACCCCTGAACACTCGCGTATTCATCACCTGTTTTCGCAGTCGGTCATCCACCAGGAACAAATCGATCATACTTCTCTCATTCTTTCGTTCTCTAGTATACATATGCATTTTCTTGTGATTAAACATAGTGTTTGTCACAAGAAGACCCTTTTCCTTGCATACCGCCAGTATAAGCTTGTTAGCATCATTAACCCTTTTATCGCCAAACTTTCCAAGTACCGACTCGTACCCTGGTCGAGCGGTACCAACCCATCCATTCAAATCACCACATACAACAATTCTTTCGTTTCCCCTAACCAAATCTAGAACTTCTCTTACATTCTCCCAAAACTCCTCCAGCTCAGCCCTGGACGACGTTTTTCTTTATGCTTTCGATATATGCTATTTTTGTGAGATTTTTTATCTCTATTCTTAAAAAATGTTATAATTAAATCTTGTCCTGTAATGTAAAGGTCTTTTCTTTTACATACATAAAACATTGTGACCTAGAAAAAATATTTGTAGTTCACAATTCAAACACTTGTTCTGCGTAGGATTCGATTCCGTGGACCCACTATGCTGCAATCAAATATTTATTCACTGCGTCAACGAGGCGTTAAACAAATTATTGCTTTATTTACAGATGGCAGCTATATTTCCAGTTCTTGACAGATACTCGTGTATTGCCACAAAGTGGACTCGTCACATGGGATTTTGCATCACTTACACAGCCTTACTCATGAAAACATGGAGGTAGGTTATTTAGGGATGTGAAATAGAATAGAACATTTTTATTTAACAACGATTACTGAAATAAAGGATCACAGCAAAGTGGCTTCCTAGCACCAGTAACGAAGTGTTAGGGCGGCCCCTCACTAAGTGAGAGCAACAAGCAGTCCTTGGGTAGCATAGCTGTGCGCTGTATTGACAATATTCATAATTTAAAAAAATGGAATGTATCCTCTTCGCCTGCTCTTTTTTAATACTGCGTTGACGTAACGATACGTTCGGTTTCGAGTTTGAGTCTTGTCAAGACTCACATTCGTCTATTTAACTTAATCGACAAGTATAAGGAGGTGGGGTAAGATTTGAGCTTCATATGGCTGCTGCATATACCTGAGTAAGAATACTGTCAAGTTAGGGACGCCATATACTGCGTTAACACGGCTGCAACATCGGAAGCTTTTTTTTATAAAATTAACTGACAAACGAACTACTACTGCTGTAGCCACTTACCCGATGGTAAGTGGCTACAGCAACCAATGGGCACCTGCAATCAAGTTCTTTTGAGTTTAGTTAGAGTAGTGAATGTTTCACCGTGTAGGGGCGGTATAAAAATATCCACTACCCCATGTCGGCCCATTGTGTCGTAAGAGGCAACAGAAGAAAATAATATAGGAGATGGGCAGCAGCATCTTCCTGATAACAACCCAAAATAATAAAAAAAACTGCGGTTGTCAACCCGCCTGCCATGCAAGGCAACTACAGCAAATCCCTTTTTGTGAAGCAATCTATGGGGGAGGCCTTTGATAAAATACAGGGGATTTTTAATAAGCTGTAATAGTAATAATAACATGATGTTTTAATTCTTTGGTTTGTTCTTTGGATACAAATCTATTTGTCTCTTTTGAATAGGACAAAGTGTTTCTTACATATTTTATATGAGCATGCACGGTACTCATTTAGAGTAATTCTTAAAAAAGTATAACAATTTGCAGAGTTTCTCTCACATATCGAGTTAAGTCCGCGCACAAGTTAAAGCTGACTGACAAACAGTTACTACAGTGGATGGCACCGATACTACTTATAATGCTAGTGTATTTGTGTACATGGACGCTCTCTTCACCACCAGACGCTGAAGTTGTGAGTATCTTTTTATTTTACAATAGAGCGAAAGATATCTTTCGGGACGATATTCGAACACAATGTCAATTTCCAAACAGTAGAATGCTATAGTTTGCACCGGATAAATGTATATAGTTACCCAAAACATAATTGGTATCCAATCCATACTGGTGTTAAAATGAGTTTTATAAGCTTAGTATATATTTTCACATAGTAAAAACAATTTAGCAAAGCAAGATGCAAGTTATAATAATCAAAATTATAAACAAATACATAATAATAATAATAATATCCCTTTATTCAGACAATGATACAAAAAAAAGAAATATTAATATTACAGGTTAAAGTTACATCAATAATTATGATTTTAATTTTTTTTTCTATTTAACTTCTGTTTCCAATTGTCTCTATAATTCTGTCTGTTTGCCTTTATTGGTAAAGGCCTCCTTTAATTGCCTCCACAACTCTGTATTACCAGCTGTTCTGGTACAGATGTTGCCAGCTACTGCTTTAATGTCATCAAACCTTCTCCTGAACGGTCTACCACTTTTCCTTTTCTTGTAATTTGTATACCAGTGCATTATTATTTTGCTCCATTTCTCTGTTCCTCTAACTGTACGTCCTGTCCATTTATCTCCATTTAAATTGTTTTATTGTGAATGTCACATATTTTGTTTTTGTATGTTTCTTTACATTTGTAGTTTTTACTTTGTCGGATAATCTTTTTCCCAACATGCTTCTCTCCATGGCGTTTTGACAAATTTCTAGTTTCCTAATATGAGTATTTGTGAGGGCCCAGGACTGGCAGCCATATAAAGAGTTTACGTTTGATGATGATATTCGTTTTTCTTTAGCCTCCAGTATTTCTTCCAAGCATTTCCTATACGTCGGTCGGTAAAGGAAATTGCAGTTATATCTGTTGGTCTGTCGAATACATACAAACAAATGCATACAACCATTATCATTAAGTACCTCTATCGATTAAATTTCAATATCTCAAACGAAGCTTTTTCTAGGTCCTTTCTAGATCCTTTTGTGTAACAACATTCAATTATAATGCTACATTAAACCCAATAAAATTTTTCGTTCTTTCTTCGACAGCTATTGGGGTGATTATAAATGAACTGGGTTCGAAAAAAACAGTATTTTTTTGCACAAATGTTGGGTCCAGCTGGGTAGAATCTTAGAGTCAATAGTGTATACTCTCACCACCACGTTATTGATAAAAAGGGAAGAAGAACCAAATAATACTCTTCCGAGACAAAGAAAACCTTATACTAAGTGTATATAATAAGTATAACAATGAACCCCAATAATAATTATTCGGGTTCATTGTTATACTTATAACCCGATATTGCGTAACTTCTTTTGAAGTGGATAATTATTATCCACTTCAAAAGAAGTTACGCAATATCGGGTTTTAAAACGGTTTTTTCATTAATAAATAAAAATGTATATTCAAGTATTTACCTTAACACATAATTGATGCTAAAAATGTATAAAAGCTGCAACACCCACTGAAAAATTCTGTGAAATGATTTTTATGTGGCGAAAAAGAGGAGTTTAATACATCTGTCCCATTGTAAACATCTTGTGGCTTGGGTTATTTTTGCATAACTGGATATACTCGTATAATATGACCTACGCGCCCAAGCTTTTTCCAATTTCGAGCTATTGAGAAGTATAATAAAATATGATATTCATAAATAAAATAATGGTATGCCCAGAAATAAGTAAACTTAAACAGTCGACATATAAAAGCTTTTCCCAAACATTAGTGTCAGATGACTATGGAGTGAAATAAACAGTTTATACGTGGTTTATACTATTCTCATTTGCTAACGTTTTGTGTTTTGGATTATTTCTATTTAAGTGGACCTGATTATACTAAATAGATTAAAATTTATAAGCCTATTCCTAAAGCTAATTTGTTTGCAGATAACCGACGACTTAGGATTAAAATTCAAGCAGTGTACTTACAACTGGTGGGACCACAGTTTAGCTATAGGTAAATAAATTTTATTTATTCCATGACGCACTATAACAAATTCGTTTGAAAACTTCGTGAAATAAAAAAGTTCGGATAAATGTGAAATGAAATCCTATCTAAAGTAAAATCTCTTCTCTGTTCCATTACCTTCTTGGAATGAAAAAGTCTTTGCCTAGTTGCGATGAATTAGACTTTTTGGTACCTAACTTATTTATAACTAGAAATGTTTGTCTATTCGAATCTTTCTACTTTAATTGTAATTTTATTTTGTCTAGGAGAAATCCTGTTTCTACTGTGGGGCGTGAGAGTATGCTACCGCGTCAGACACGCTGAGAGTTTATATAACGAAGCTCGCCTCATATCCATCGCTATCTACAATATATTTACTGTTAATTCGTTAATGATTGCATTTCAGTAAGTGCTACCATTAATTTTTATAGTAACTTTTAATAAGCCATTGATGATACTACTAAATTTGAAATTGACTTATTAAAAATTTATAATTATTGTATTTATTTTCCAACTGGAAGCGTAGTTCAATGTTTTTAATTCAACTCATATCAGGTGAACCTTGCTCATTCCGATATATAACTATTAAATGAGATGCTAAAGTATAACAATAAGAGATAGCAGATTAAGTGTCAGGACTCTTTTATGTAAAATTGCAAATTAGAAAAGTTTTATCCTAAAATTCTAAACTTTATCTCGTATAGTTTACGAGATAGTTATCGAATAGGTAATTATCTCGTAAACTACCATTATTACCATTTATTTCATCGGTTTATCGCTTTCACAAAAATAAATTCTGCATGTTTTTCGTGTAAAATATAGCCTAAATCACTCCTGGCATTGCTCTATACATGTTCGTGAAGTTTTATCACAATCGTTTCAGCTATTCCTAAATTTTGCAATTGTTTATAGCAGCTAGTTAATTCGATATTACAGACACACACTTCAATGGATTTTAATAATTATTAAACTATGGCCTGACTATTTCCTGATAATTCTGAACGACTGGTTGCCATTAATTAGTGCGATTAACACATTTAAAATATATATAACATTAATTAATGCATTTCTTTACATCACTTCATATATTAAGACTGTGTTATTAAACTTTTATTAGACCCTTTTTACTTGAAAAGAAGCATTCCATTTTAGTACTCACGGGTGACAACGCATCTGCATTATGATTCTTTATTGAGGATAGATATACGTAGGTCACTCAATAAGTTTTGAGATATACAAAATGTATTCTAGATACTATTAATATTTATTTTACATCTTTTAAAAATATTCTCCATCATGCTCTATACAAAGTTCCATTCGCCTAAACAAACTCTGAAAACACTTTTGCCAGTCTTGATCTGACAGGTCGGAAATCGCTTCTTCCTAGGCAGCCACGGCTTCTTAGCGCTCGAAAAAAACTTGCCTTTTATTTTTTCTTTGACTCTTGGGAACAAAAAGTAGTAATCAAGGAGCTAAGTCAGGGCTGCAGGGTGTAACTCTGCAGGACTTAGAGTTTCAACACCAGATTCCTCAATAAATGCTTTCGTTCTAAGGGAGGTATGTGAAGAGGCCATTGAGTTTTATGTACTACGTACTAGAGAAGCCATTCCAAACAAAAATTGTGCGCTACTCTATGTCTTCGCGCATGCGCGGGAGATAGTAAAATAAGATATTAATATAAAATAAATATAAGAATTTAATATAAAATACTGTTATTTTAATCTAAACAAACATATTTTTAAATAAAATGTAATTAATAATTATCTTATGGAATTCACAAATCTTCAATTTACGTAACATTTAGTTTAGTGTACGGATTGCAGTACAGTTCAGTTGGACAAATTTGTTTTTTTTTTATAGGAGAGGGGGCAAACGAGCATGCGGCTCACCTGATGATAAGTGACTACCGCCGCCCATGAACAACCGCAACACCAGGGGAATTGCAGATGCGTTGCCGGCCTTTTAAAAAGGAGTACGCTCTTTTCTTGAAGGTCCCTAAGTCGTATCGGTCCGGAAAAATCGCTGGTGGTAAACTATTCCACAAGGAAGTTGTGCGAGGAAAAAAACATCTTCTAAATCGCACAGTGGTGGACCGCCAATCATCCAGATGGTGTGGATGGTATCGGGAGTTCTGCCGCGATGTGCGTTCGTGAAATTTGGCGGCTAGGATTAATCCGAACAATTCCTCAGAGCACTCCCCATGGTAAATGCGAAAGAAAATGCAAAGAGATGCAACATCTCTTCGCAGTGCCAATGAGTCGAGCCGATCGGAAAGGACTCGGTCGTCGACTATTCGAGCCGCTCTGCGCTGGATGCGGTCAAGTGGAAGGAGCTGGCACTGGGGAGCCCCAGCCCAGAGATGGGAACAGTATTCCATGTGAGGCCGAACCTGCGCCTTGTAAAGTTGCAGGCGTTGAGCTGGCATGAAATACTGTCCCGCTCTGCTGAGCACGCCAAGCTTTTTAGAGGCCAATTTGGCCTTCTCTTCCAAGTGACCACGAAACTGCACGTCACTCGATATGTCGACGCCGAGGATTCCGATACTGGCTGAGGCAACAAGGGGAGTACCTTGAAACTGAGGAGATACGACAAAGGGGTTCTTTTTAGCGGTAAACGCGCAAACTTGTGTCTTCTGAGGATTAAACTGGACTAGATTTAGTCGCCCCCAATCCGAGACTTTGTCCAGCAAAGACTCGACTTCAGACACAAGTTTGTTCCGGTACTCGGTGACGTTTTCCAGAGAAATATTGGCACGGCTGGTGTATAGAGCATCACCAGTGCTGTCATCCGCATAGCAATGGATGCTACTGGCTTGCAACATATCATTGATATGCAGAAGAAACAGCGTTGGTGATAGCACGCAGCCTTGTGGAACACCAGCGTTAATAGGCTTGTAGTCGGAGCATGCACTGTCTACAACGACCTTGATGCTCCGATCTGCAAGAAAGCTGGTGATCCAATTGCATAATTTCTCGGGAAGCCCCATAGGAAGGGAGCTTCGAAAGAAGCGCTTTGTGCCAAATTCAATGTTCGGAATGCGTAATCTAGTGCGTAGTACATATATATCGATGGAAGAGGCGTTATAGTGATGCAGCATGATTCCCCGAAGCCCGGTCTTTGGTCTGCTCTCACAGCTTGAAAAGCTTTGGGGAATGCAATTGTAGTATACGATTCAGAATTGACTGACCTACAATTAGCTAGCATTGACGTCGACAAATGTCCGCCCTACGATAAAAAGCTAGCCACCATTTTTTTGCCGACGTTGCAAGGTCTTTGCAGTTTTGTCGGTAACTGTCTTTATGAGTAGACCCATACCGATGATTGCCTTTTATTTTCCGGATCATATTGATAGATCCATGTCTCATCACCAGCAACGATTTCTGAAACACCTAGATGCCCCTTTTTCAAAACGTAGACGCATTTCATTGCACCAATCCACACGAGTCTGTTTTTCGCTTTCGGAGAGCAAACGAGGGATCCATCGACAACAAAGCTTCCTCACTACAAGATCTTGATGTAGGATGATATGAATGCTTCCCGAACGTAGGCATTAGTTCTTCTTACGTAGGCATTAGCAATCTTTTGGATGTCCGTATATGTGATTCGTGGGTCTTCTCGCACCAACATTTCAGTAGTCCGTACATTTTCTGCCGTTACTGCTGTTTGCGTAGGCCCCGGTTCTTTGGTCATCTTTAGGATTAATTTTACCCCTTTTGAATTCAACAAACCACCTAAAAATTGTTGCGCTTGATGGAGTTGAGTCTCCTAGTGCTGATTGTAGCCGTACAACTTAAATGTTCGGTTAAACCAAATTTAAAATCATAATATATCATAGCGCACAAATGTTTACGGTCAAGATCTATCGTTTTAAATGAAAAGCGCGGGAAGCGTTGCAGAAAAATTGATAGAACTTTGTTTTTTTAATATTGAGCAATTGGCTTATGGAGTTCTATTTTTAAATAAATTTGCTTTTTAGAAACATGTAACACAGGTGCGTTCCATTTTTAAATTTCGGGCATCTCAAAACGTACCTACGTACATGTCTATGGGTCACACCACTTACTATCAGGTAGACTGTGTGCTCGTTTGTCATCCTATCCCATCAAAAAAAACTAAGGCACAATTAACGTGATTGTAAAGCGAATTATTTTATTTTCAGTTTACTAATATTGCCGCGAGCCGGTCCTGATATTAAATATCTTCTGGGCTTTATAAGAACACAACTGTCCACATCAACTACCGTATTATTAGTATTTCTTCCAAAGGTAAGTTAAAAGGCTAGTTCACATTAAAAAGATGTTACACATTATAATTATCTCACTATATTATTTACCTTTAGTGATATTAAAGTAAACTTTAGTAATATTTTTATAAAAATAAAAATATTACTAAAAAATAATAAAAATATTACTAAAAAATAATAAAAATATTACTAAAGTTTACGATAAATCGTGTCAACATCTACGAATTAACAGACTTCAAAGCCAAATTTAAATAGAATCTGACCAGAATCTTGCGTGATTGAAGAATAAACATTAAACATCCAAAGGTACATATTTTCACATTTTAATATTAGTAGGATATAAAAACTACGTGGCGAAATGGGGTAATAGAAATTCTTACGCCTCCACTACATGGTAGCAGGAACAACAATAGGTTGGCTTATGATTCGACCTGTCTGTGAAATTTGGATTTATTTTCTTTATACTGCGAAAAATTTAAAACGTACTTTATAGTGAATATTACGAATATTGTCAGGTGTTGCGTGTAGTGCGCGGCACGGGGGACACGTGGGACAGCCGCGCGAGAGCTCGGGGAGTCCCCGCTTCCTCTTCACTCAACGGTATTGGTCTTGTGCCTGACGACCCACCGGACTTGTACCAAGAGAACGAGGAACTAAAGGTTTGCATCAGTTATTCTTTCTTCTTCTCTTCCTTCTTCAGCCTATAAAAGTAGCTGCTGGTCATGGCCTCCATCGTTGCAAGAACGATTTACCATAATGGCCACGCTTGGCAAGCAAGTTGGCGGGCATAGTAACAGACGCATTGCTTCTTTGATAGTGTTTCCTATCATCGGTTCGGTTGTTTTACGAGTGGCGTAAACGAGTAAATGAAATAATCATTATTTTAATATATTAAGTTATACTCAACACAAACCCATAATGATGATGAAAACTTCCAAATACTGACGTAAACTATCAACTGAGAAGTAGATATTATAGTGGCTCGAGTAGACGCTCAAACACAGATGCACTTGTAATACCCCAGAGTAAGCTTATGGGAGGTGTGCTAGATACGATCACAATCAGGCCCATAAATCATTAATTTGTTTTATTCGCAAACATTGGTTCCATATCAAGAACCAGCGATGTTTTACCAATCCAATCAAGCATAGACCAAATACCAGAATATTGACCGAGGCAATAGTCGTCAATGTATACCTATCAAGAATTTAAATTAGGCTTAAATAATTATAATTTAAGGAACGTCTCCTTTGACTGAAGTTCCGAATTAAAAAATATTTGCTATTGTATGTACAACCCTGTTAGTTCTTCTACATATTATACTGCTTAGTGGTATGGAAGTTTCATTCTTTATCCATACAACTTCTGAACCACAGGTGCAGGTGCTGCTTCTGAACTGCAGCCTCCGTATATTGTAATATATGCAAAGCCTCAAGTCGTAAAACTTAACAAAATTTCATTGTATCTGGAAGAATTGCATAGGAAACGCATAAAACGGACAAAAAAAATTCATTTCTTTAGTCAGATCAACACGCGTATGTGCAGTGCGGCAGACACATCCATGCTCCAAAACTAACATTAATAGGAACAAAACTAAATAATCAAATTTAGAATTACTAAATAGTCGAACTTAGATAGGATGTTTACTCTACCTTGGTATTTTAATCAATTCATAGAAATTATATACAATTCCTAAAGCTACCCATATGTTATTCTGTGTACCGTGTGATGGCGACTCTCATCTGGTGGGTGCATATCGAATTTATACCATATGTGAAAGCCGCCGGTGAAAAGACGTTTAGTTCTGTGGACGTACTGCCTAGAATGATCACTGCAGCAAATCATTCCCACTAACGGAAAGATCCATATCCAGCTCTGAACAGTGTATAGGTATAATGAGGTAGATGATATTATTTTATAGATATGATCATTATCTACTTTACTTTCAGGAAGAAGTACAAAAACTCGCAGCACAGATAGAATTCATGAAGATCGTGCAAATGGAGATGCACAACAGACATCTACGACCGCGGCCCGGTGGCTATTTCAGTAGCCAGGCACCAAATTCGCATAGTCCAGTGCATAACAACTCCAACTCACAGGTACTTTCCATTTGCCCATTACGTACAAAAATATGACAAAAATACCTGTTGCTAACCCAACCAACACTAAAAATTAGCCTATTAAAAACTCATAGGCCTATTAAAATCCACTGCCGAAAATAGGCGTCCCTTTGATAAGCCGTAAAAGAAGGTAATTCTTTGTCAGAGCAATAGATTGATCATACTACCGTAGTACCGTGAAGTCACTTGTCACAACTACTACTACAACTACTGTCGACAACGGCAAAAACATGTGACTCGATTCGCCCCTTACGCAGTACGCAAAAATGCTCACGGCAACTTTAAGATCCGGCCCGTCTATAATGGATGCCTAGCTTTATTTTATCACAAATCATTACTATAATGTCTTTTTCCGGGACACCTGAGATTTTGAGTGAGATTGAGAGGTTCTATGGGCAGCTGTACACGTCATCGTTGGAGCCACACGCAAGTGTGAGTAACGATGCAAGAGCAAGTCTTATCTGATACTATTCCGATGATATCGCGGACGTCAGTCTGAGCCAGATTAGAATGGTTCTCCAACACCTTAAAAACGGTAAGTCCCCGAGCGAGAATGGAATTACACCGGAACTTCTGAAAGCGGGTGGAAAACCGGTACTTAAAGTCCTTCAGAAGCTTTTTAATTCCGTCTTCCATGGTGGTACTACCCCGGAGGCGTGGAGCAGAAGTGCGGTGGTCTTGTTCTTCAAGAAAGGCGACAACGCTCTCTTGAAGAACTACAGACCGATTTCCCTTCTGAGCCGCGTCTATGTGCCGTTTTCGAGAGTCATTACGAATCGTCTCGCACGTAGACTCGATGACTTCCAGCCTCCCAAACAAGCCGGATTCCGAAAAGGCTTTAGCGCTATAGACCACATACATACCTTTCGGCAAATTGTACAGAAAACAGAAGAGTACAATCTGCCACTTTGTCTTACGTATGTGGACTATGAGAAAGCCTTTGATTCCGTCGAAGTTTGGGCGGCACTGCAGCCCTTTCAGCGGTGCCAAATAGCTACGATGGTTATCCGAGTACAGAACCAGAGTACGAAACCTATCCAATTGGAGAGAAGTGGAAGACAGGGTGATGTTATATCCCCAAAACTCTCACCGCTGCATTGGAAGACGTTTTCAAGCTTCTGGACTGGAAAGGATTCGGTATTAACATCAATGATAATTAGATTACTCACCGGCCATATAGCTCGAAGAACCGACAGCCGATGGGGAAGAATGGTTCTCGAGTAGCAGCCTCTTGCCGGTAGGCGAAGTGTAGGGCGTGCCCCCACTATACGGAATGACGATCTGGTAAGTAAGACCTGGTAAAACAGGAAGTCAATAGATGCAGGTGACTCGGGAGCGTGCTTTGTGGCATTCCTTGGGAGAGGCCTATGTTTAACAGTGGACTTGTGAATGATGATGACGAAATGATAAAAATCCAAAAAATAGGTAACAACTTTTGATGTGAAGTTTATGACAGTAATAATGTTTAAAAGGAGTCCACGGAATGGACCGGGCCGGTGTGACTGGTGGCGCTAAGCGACAGCGGCTGGATGTGGCCCGGACCGGCCGCGCGCCGTGTGGTCACTACCGTCGACCCGCGACCGCCCGCCTTCGTCTGAACCGCTAGTACTCTATCATTTGTTGAATTATTTGCAGGCATCAACGCATTGTTTTTTTCACTTAGAATAAGGATACAAAAACGGATCCAAATTTCGTTACGTTTATCCATTAGGTTCTAATATAGGTGTCGTTTTTGTTACGGTTCCAATAAAATCGATTCCACAACATAAGTTTTAGTTTCCATGTTGAGAGAAGAAGATACCTACGATAGGATACTGTTACGATTATAGTAATGATGAAAGTATCAAAATGAATCTGCAGATCCAAAAACTAATCGTTATTTTCAACCCAATATCTTAAAATCGATAAGTCCTTAACGAGAATGGAATGCGGGATCCTTACTTTCTTATTATAAATGAACGAAATTAAAACGTAAGGTTTTCGTCAGTGCTTTTGCCTTTCCACGAATTATTAATATAATGAAACCATCAAACTATAAAGAAGTAAACCGGTGAGGCAGAAGCGGTAGAAGTACCTTTGAATTCAAAACTTACCTTATTTATTTAAGCTATATTTATATAGAAGAAAAGAATTTTCCATTAGTTTATATTCAATGAATTTAACGCTTATTTATTAAGAAATTATTGTATACACCGTTTTGAGACTAAAATAAGGGATGTATATAGTACATATTTGCTAGGTCGACGCAGGTATTATGTACACTACACATAGTACATACCACTAATCTTTTGCTATGGCATAATTTATAGCGCACAGCATCTCAGTTTCTGGATCCGGAAGAGTTAATATTCGGGGAAACTGTTAAACCTAGCTTTAAGCCATGCCGACTTTTACAGACATCTTATACAAATTCTCTAGATCTAGTAAAGAAATTGTTAGTTAGATTTAAGATATTGCCAAATTCTCAAGGGTACCTAAATCGTTGTATTATACTATGACGATATGTGTATGTTTCTCAGATTATTATAATAATACGAAAATACGAGAATAAAGTTAATAAAAACCTTAAAACCACAGAAAGACAAACATAAAAAATAATATAATATATAATGGATAATAAATCGTATAGCGGCGGTGTAAGAATATCCACTATCCCACAACGTTCCGTGAGTGTCTTAAGAAGCGATAGAGGAAAACAAACCAAGAGATAGGTAGCAGCGTCCTCCTATTAGCAAATAAAAATTCGACTATAGTCACACAGTTCGACACATTTAATGTGCTTTTGAGAAATTTGTTGTAATTGGCATTTGACCATACGTTGGACGAACTTCTGGGACGTGTTCGTTGCTCAATGAGCATGATTTGGATTTTCTTCTTATCGCATTAACAATGACTTGCTTTCGGAATTCGGCTATTTCGTTAGACAATTTATTAATCAAAAAACCCAGTTTACTGCTGGATGCCCAGGCAATTTGAGATAACGGTGAGGCAATCTCTTGTACGCGATAAGCAAGTTCAGTGCCAAAATTTCCAGCTATGCATTTAGTTGTGCCGCTAAGACTGTTTATGTACTTTTTGGAATTCCAGTCATCCAAATTGTCTTGAAGGGCGCTTCCGCATTTTTAACAAAGTTAATAGAAGACATAGAAAGTCGTAATTATTATTCTGACTTTAACTATACCTAGTTCTAGCCATGAAAAATCGAATAAGTACACCTTAGTTTAATCAACCGCAATCGACTGCACCTTGTTGTAGCTGGTTAAACCTAGGTATAACCGCACTTCGGCTTTTAGCTGTGACTTATATATGTAAATTACATACGATCTACGGGTTTTATACGAAGTGTTCACCGCACTACCCTAATGCGTGTTGGCGAACTATACAAGTCTTAGAATTTTTTTTTAATTTCTTATATATGCTCGTTTTTTCTCAACATTTTCCTTCATCTTCAAGCACATAGTAAATTAGTACTTAAAAACTAAATTAACAGTTTCATTATTGCCAGCAGGAATCTAATACGCACTAACTGTAAGCGCTAAGATCCAGAGCTACCACGGCTAAAATAAATTGTTCGCAAAAACATTTACTTACCTATGGTTATTTTTTTCACGCGTAAATATATCCTATAAAGATACTTAATTCTTAATGTTCTAATACATGATTCCCATCGTCTTCATAACATCGAAAATTTATCGATTGAAACGATAACATAAAAATTGTAACAGTACATAACAAAATAAAAGTAAGCTTAAAATCCTACCAAAAATTCACTTTTCTTTTTTGATACTTCAAGAAAAAGTTCATATTAAATTAGGATATACCCATAAATTTTGCTTTAATTTATAATTTTTTGCTTACTGGAAACTGAATTAACATCTTGTAAGAAAGTAGCAACTATTGCTAGTTTCTTACAAGATGTTGTAGTGTACATATATCTACTAAAAGATGGTAAAAAAAAAAAAACTCTAACCCAACAAATATCAAGCAAATGAATGTCAATGCAAAATATCAATTATTATTTATAAATAATACGAAAAATAATACTCGTACGTGAGTTTAAAACTTACATAATACATACTTATAACCTAGTCAAGCTTTTAAAAAAAAGAGTAGAATTAAATTCTATTCTTTATAAATTATCTTCAACAACTAGGTTTATAGATACCTATTTCCCAATGGCAAATAGATATTACTGCATGGCAGTCTCCTACTGCCACTGACTACATGATGACCTGATTAAATACTAAGCTGAAAATAAGTGGCTCAGGCCGTGCTTCTTAGTAAAAATATGAAAAAGGCGTACCTATGTTTAGCAGTGAACTTGTGATAGGCTGTGAAGATTATGATAATGAAATCAAACATTAAAAGGACTCTCCCATAATAGGTAGGATCTGCCATAATCGCCACGCTTGCCAGACGCATTGACAATCGCAGTATCAAACGTCTTGAACCTTCTACGCTGCTCTTCGTCGCTGATATGTATTTTACATCTGATGTATAAGAGATAGTAATACCACCGTCTGTCGGAGATCATAAGTTCTTTTTTTTATAAAATGAGAATGACACAAACGAGCAAACAGTCCACCTGATGGTAAGTGGATGCTGTTGCCTATAGACATCTACATCTATCCTCGATTATCTTGTCCATAGATTTTTTCACGCCGTCGCCACTACTACCTACTATCTGCTTTCTCTATCTTACTCTACACAGATTTTCTCTTTCTTCTTCGTCCTAACGTTTGTCCTGGCTTAGATTAAGGTTCGCTTTTCTACTCATAATTCTCCATTTCACTAGAGCTTGATCATTAGTATCTATTGGTTCTCGTGTCAATCAAAACATTCTGGCTTCGCTCTTTTGCCTTCCTCCGGGTATTTATTCAGGCATTCGTAGCCATCGTTTCGAGACTCTCCTGTTACTTTCTAGATATAGTTCAGCATTCGCCTTTTGGCCTTAAGGAGAATACGATCATAGATCACTGTATATATATTCTAGAATACGATATTTCCTTCTTAACCCACATATCTAGCGTAACATCTTCATTTTAGTAACGTGAATAACAAGAAATCCGTGCTAACTTTGACCATATGACACGTCTTACTGCCATACATAAACACTGATATAACGATTTACAAATCAGGTCTTTTAGATTTACATGCATTTTAGTATCATATGACAACTGTCATTAAGCCGTTTACTCCAAGATACTCTAAATCGTGCAAGAATGTCGACATAAGCACGCAATACTGACCCTTGTTATTAAAAAGGCTTTGATCACGGCCTCACACCCTATAACTTAAAAATGCAAATAATATTGGTATATTTATATAAAGTGGCATGCTTAGACCAATAATAATTTTATATTGGTCTGAGGTGGCATGCATATGATAAAAAATATTAAAGTGAATCTCTAGTCCTTAATATATAAGAATAGCGATGTGCAATGTTTTATTAAACATATATTTTTGTCAAATATTGTTGTTATGCTATATAATATACATTTAGAACAAAAAGTTCAGAGGTCAGACAATAAGATGTTGCAAATGAAAATATTTCATTTTAATTCTAGTGAATGTATTACTTACCTGTATCAAAAAAAAAAAATGTCCCATATAAATTTCATTTGCTTAAGCAAAGTTGATCTGATAAAGTAGTGTATATTATGAAATAAAATATTTCCTTATCATAAATGTTAGAATAATGAAAAAGAAATTGTAAATATGAAACAAGACAAAGCATAAATTCTAAAAAGTTGTACATAGTAGGTGTATTTCTGATTTCTATTAATTTAATGTCTGTGATAATTATTGTTTACTTTATTTTTAAATATTGACCGCTTTAGCATAATTGTCGTTGTTGTTATAATCAATGCAATGCGGTTTGAAGATTGAAGTAATTATAGGTATCTACAGTATGAAAGTTGGAAACAAGACATTATGTACTCGTCCTGTTACACAATAAAGATATTCTTTATAAAATTACTATAGGTATGTATCCACAAGATAATACAAAATATCATAGGTACCAGACATTGAATTCTAAATTGTTTCTACATTTATTATTATTGTAAATAAATGTCCAAATAAATATATAATGGCGTCACGTTTGTTAAATTAGAAATAAATATGTATTTAATAGCCCTTTTCTTATTTATTATAAATTATTAAACAGCAAACCTTGTAGTACCTACGAATGTAAGTTTATTAAATAATATTATTGTTTATTAAATATCTTTAAAAATTCTATTTGTGCCATAAATGTAAAGATTATAAATTTTAATATTATGTGTTTTTAGTATTTAGGACTAATAATATATTGAGTGTTGGACCCTGATTGGACCTCTTCATTCATCTGTAGATATTATGATTATAGAGTAAAATGTATAAATGTGATAATAAATGTTGATAGAATTACCTATCATTAGAGTGATGATTCAATAGATTAGATAATTTATTTTATTATTAATACTATTTGTAGAATCTCCAAATTTTATTCCTTATTAAAATAAAATTAATTGTGCCAATTTATAAATTTTAGAAGCTGTTTTATCTGGATGAGAACTTAACCAATTTTTTTGTAGTTTTTCATGTGTATTCAGCCAATTAAATAGATGCAATGTACCTAATGTTGTTATTGGTTGTTATTCTCTGTTAATAGATGGATAATTGTATAAGTTGTGTTTTTACATTAAAGTGAAAATTTACTGTTTGTATTTATCATATTACACCGTGTAATGTCGGTGTAAGAATATCCACTACCCCATATCGTTACGTAGATAACGTAATAGCACAGCTTAAAGTGCTTAAAACTGTGATAATAGGCAACAGATGAATAATTTAATATTAAAAATTTTGTACAACCGACTTCAATATAAATTATTAAGAATAACTTAAAAACTATTGGTCACACCTTGATCAAATTAATATAGAACCACATGACAAGTACCAGCTTTGAAATAAAAAAAGAATCTTCGAAATCGGTTCACCCAGAAAAAAGTTATGATGTAACACACATTTAAAAAACCATACAGTCGAATTGAGTACCGTCTCCTTTTTGAAGTCAGAAGAAAAATGGGCAGCAACATCAACTGCGGTCGTCGACCCGCCTGCTAAGCGTGGCAACTACTGATAAGAAATAGTTAGGCCCCCCGCGCACTAGGCAGCCTGGATGCGACAGCCAGGCTGCGGCAGCCAGTCGAACATAAGACGGTGTATGGGAGCTCGCGCACTAAGCAGCCACGAACTCCCGGCTGCGGCAGCCATAAAAGCGCGTCCGATTGCACAGCAGCCCGTTGGCTGCGCGCAGCCAGAGCGAGCAGGGCAAATGTATGTGGCTGCCGTCAGTCACCGCGCACTTGTCGTAGCAGCCAGGCATATTTTGTGTTCCGAAACCACAAAATGACTTTCGATACGGAGAAATTTATTCGCGAAATTGAAAACCGTAAAGCAATATGGGATATATCTATATGAGTACCAATGCCCTTGATTTAATTTCTTATGTTTTCCAAAAGATTATCAAATCATTGCACTGACATTCTCGTGTAGTTAAAAAACCGGTCTGGGTATTTACAAACATCT